TAATAATGAGGTGGCATGATGAAGTCAACTCTTCATCTTGGGCTTGGGCTTTTGGGCCGAGTTTTTGAAAGGAAAAGGAAGAAAATTGGGCCTTTGCCCCTAAGACCACTATTAGGGTTAATCTTAAGTATTTATTGGCCTTATAAAATAAAATTGTGATTTTTATGTTTCAATAAGCTAGATTAGGTTAATCATGGATCAAAGCTTTCAATTTATTTCATTCTAGGCCCAATATGGCCCATAATATTGAAATAAATGAATGTGGGTCCAATTAGAGCCCAATTAGGGTTCTAAGCCCATGATAGTCCAATTGGAAGCTTATTGGTCCATTTGGATCCAATAAGGGAGTTCTAGTCCAAAGTGGACCTAAATAAGAACTTCTAGGGTTTCCAATTGTTTGTTGACCATTTGAATGATTGTATGGTGTATTTGATTGAAAATTTGTTGTTACAATCATGGGTGTTACACATGTTCTTAAGCTTTTGATTCACTTTAGCTTGATTGTATAGTTTACAAGACACAAAATTTCCAGTTGTGACAAAAGGTCTTAATGGAGTAGTTGGGTGTGTATGAGACATGCAAGGGCATAAAGTTGCCAACTTTATGCCTTAGGACATCTTGTTAGACTTAGATCTAGCTTTTGGACGTGAAAGATTCGAGCATTAAGCACTTAATGGAAAAAAGTGCTTAAAATGGTTGTACGTTGGGTGTAACTGGCTGTACGGGGCGCGTAGTCCCTAAGCCTTCATTACGCTGGGCGTAGGCAAGTCAGTTGGGCCTAAGTTGTTTTGGGCCTTTGGGCCCCATTTGGTTGTTGGGCTTGATTGGATTCTGTGAGTTAGAGGCCTTTTAATCTGTTTGGACCGTGGATTTATCGGTTGGGCCTTATTGGGCCAAGGGGCCCATTAAGGATGTTGGACTTGACTTTGGGGCCCATTTGCAAGGAAAGGGTAATTGGGCCTTGGGGATAGAACTGGAAGGTTGGGCATTTCCTGGAATAACTTAAGGTCTTATCATTGATTATATTATTGTTGTAATTATTCAGCTCGGAAGGTTGCAAATTATTAGGAGGATAGTATTCGTATTCATCAGACGGTGGTGAGTCTTCTCACCATACCTATGGGTCTACAGCACCAAGGTCAACCCATTATGTGATCATGTTATGTGTGTGTTATTCATTATGAGTTTATATGTTATGTGATATTATGTTGGTACGGAAGACCCCAGGGGGAGCCCGTGGCATTGGATATAAGACCATGTGGGGTAGCCCATGACATTCCTAGGTAAAGACCATGTGGGGTAGCCCATGGCATTGAATGTAAGGCCATGTGGGGTAGCCCATGACAGTCCTAGGTAAAGACCTTGTGGGGTAGCCCATGACACTCTTGTTGAATCGTATTGCATGGTTTCTGTGGTATGTTTATAGCTTTATTAGCTAACATGATATGTGTATGTGAATGTGTGTGGTATGCTCTGGGAAACTCACTAAGCATTTTGCTTACATGTTGTTGATTTGTTTCAAGTACTTATGTGCACAAGGGCAAGGGCAATGCTTGATGACGTGACGCACACTCTATCTCTCTTTTAAATGTATTTGGGATCCTATGATGTTTTAAAAAGGAAAACAATGATGTAATGAATGTTATTTTGAAAACATATGTTTGGGAATCTTTGGTTTTGATTAACTCAAAAATGAAAATTTTATCCGGTAAAATTGGGTCGTTACATAACTAATCATTTCCTCTTTTTCTCTCTAGGGTTTTGTTGCTTCACAATTGAGGCTGAAAAGGATGGAAGGTAAGGGCCTGCTGAATACACAATTTATCCAGAAGATTGAGACTAATGGCAAATTGATGTTGCGGATGCTTAAATTAAGGTAATCTTTTTTCCCATTTTCTATTTCTATAATTTTTTTGACTTCAATTGTATCCACCATCATGACCAGGTTCTGTTCCTACTCTTCCGTGTTGTTATATGATTCTATTTCATTTTTCCATCATTTTTCTATGGTTTGTTTGTTAATTCAAATTTAAACATTTATCTATGATTTAAAACGCCTTGTTCTCGAGTTCTACTTAAGGAGAGAAATGAAAGGATACGGAGGGAAAGTGAGGGGTGTTAAAGGAAAATCGTGTTCCCGAGTTTCATTAATGGAACGAAAGTGAGGGGAGGGAAATGATTTTGGAGCCATATTTTCCTTCCAAATTGTCCTCCCAAATTAGGCGGATTTTGAAAGAAAGTGAGGGGAAGGAAAATTTTAAGTTTTATTTTCTTTTTCCTCCTAACTCAAGAACACAAAAGCATAAAATTTTCTTTTCATTTCATTCGAATTCGGGAACACAGAATAATGAATATTTTCTTTCACGTCCCTTTCTTTCTGTCAAATTTTCCTTCCATTTCCTTTAATGAATTTACAAGAAAAACTCGAGAACAAGGCGTAAGTTTATTTTATCTATTCAAATAACAACTTTATTGTTTTTTTCCCATTCGTTTAGGTTATGAAATAATTCAAATTGTGTGTGGTTATCAAATAATTTGAAGTGGTTTGTTTTTACCTTTGAATTTGCAGCATATGTTAGGAAACACGAATTCTTGTTGTAGCATTTAAACAAGAATTGCTTTGTTTTTTTCTATTTATTATTTTTTTATTTTCTTTTGAACTATGAAATTTTGGGTTGATGTTATTATGTGTAAGTGGTAGTAGAGAACAAGAATTACATTAACCATTACCATTACCAATCATTCAACTTTTATTTATTTTTATTTTATATTATTATTATTATTTTAAATTTTATATTAATTCAAATAAAAGGGCAATACATTTTATTTGGAACAATGATCAAAACTGTATTAAATACGTCTAATAAGAACCAAAATTGCAACGAGATTACTTTATATTGTAATAAATCATCTGAACTCCAAAATTGTAACATGGAAGGTTAATACATTAACAATTGATCAAAGGCCAATGGTTTTTTTGGTTAACCACCAGAAGGTTCTCATGTTACTATATTCCTGGTGTTTTTTTTTTTTTTAATTAGAACAAACTCTATTGTAATGTGTAGCATTTAGAACAAAACTCTATTGTAATGTGTAGCATTTTGCTCGCTTTACATTCATTCCTTATTTATTACAACCTTCTACTTTAACTTAATTCTATTATAACACTAAACTTTCAAAATATTTACAAGCTTTCTCTATTGGGTAGGAAGGCAACTACACCTTAGCCTGGAATGCACGACAAGAAAATGCTCAGGAATTCTCTTGTCGTTATGAGTCACTCTAACTTGGTGTGCGCCTTTTTATCAATTTAAAGAAGGTTTGATACCTAGCTGTAATTGATGCTCTAAGCTGGTCTGTGAACATAAGAAATTTGGTAGTAATCTATGTTGAATTTGTAAAACCATTCAATTGTAGCATCATAATTTGAATTTATCCTCACATCATTCAACTTCAATTATTTTGTTTATCAAGACATGTTTACTTAAAAATCCATCCAACTACAAAATTCTTCCAAATTACCCTTCGTCGGTTGTGCTCAGCACAACCCATAAAACATCACTTGTGTGTGTGTGTTTATATATATATATATATATATATATATATATATATATATATATATATATATATATATATATATATATATATATATATCGAAAAGTTCATTATAAAAGTCATAAAAAACCACTGAGCCAATCCAAAGAATCCAAATTTAAAGCAATCAACGACAAAAGGAAGGGTTGTAGATTTTTACAATGAACGCACATCCACGAAATTATAACAAAATTCACTTCATTTTTTCGTTTAGAATTTTTTTAGGCCATGTGAAAAAAAACGAATATACCGTTGTTCACAATTTTTTTGTCATCTTTCAATAGAGATCTATGATATTTATAAAAAACAATTTTTTTTTTCGAAAAAAAAACTCATTTCATTTTCTTTGTTGAAGAGTTAAGATCCATTTTTTTTTATAAAAAAGTTAATAAATATATCAAAATTCATATTTTTTTGGTACTTTTTAAACAAATATTAATATTTATGTTTAAAAATTATATTTCAATTCAGATTCACATTGTGAACTTATTCAAATTCATATTGTGAACCTTTTCAGATTCACATTGTGATAATAGTAAGTTACATTCACATTGTGAATTCAAACTGATCGAGTTTTTTCACATTGTGCATGTTAAAAATTAAAATATGTACAGTTTAGATTCACAGTGTAATTATACACTAAATGAAGTTTTTTTAGTCGATGTTGTTTTCTATTAATAGAGAACAAAAAAATAATTTTTTGATATAATTATTTTTCTTTTGATAAAAATAAACTTAAATATTGAAAAAACTAACAAAATGAAATGTTTTTTTTTTCAAAAAAAAAATCGTTTTTTATATATCAACATGGATGTCAAATGACAGTTGGTGTTGTTATCTATTAAAAGAGTACAAAAAATTAATTTTTTTGAATAATTAGTTTTTTTTTTGATAAAAATAAACTTAAATATTAAAAAAACTAACAAAATCAAAAGGGTTTTTTTAGAAAAAAAATCGTTTTTTATATATCAACATGAATCTCTAAGTAAAGATGACGAAAAATCGAAAACAGTATATTCGAGTTTTTTTTCAATAAAAATGTGACCTAAAAAGATTTTAAACAAAAAAAAATGCGTTTTTTTGGTAAGGAGGTATATTTTTTGGTGTAATCCGGTGTATGTACGTCAAATGTACAAGTGTAAATCTATTTCCTTAGCAGTTGATCATTATGATTTCCAACGCTCACTATTGGTTCCTTGTTATATATATATATATATATATATATATATATATATATATATATATATATATATATATATATATATATATATATATATATTATACATTGCGATTTAAACCGTAGTTTTAGAAACAACAAACCGCACCACGAAAGTATTAAACTGCATTATGGGGTGCGGACGAATTATGTGGTTTATCAAACACCCCAAGTTAACATTGTGAAATTCCTAACATGGCACATCAACCTCATCCTGAAACTTAATCATATATTTCTCAGCCTTATCTTTCAAACACCCTAAAAGCCCCTTGGCCTTTATTTTCAACTCCAAAAGCTTCACTTTAACTTTAACAATCTCATCTTCAATTAATTTCTCATTCTTTTTCGCCTCCACATATCTTTTCAAATCCACCCCAAATTCCGACTTAAAAACAAGTCCCACAAGTGTCCGTATTTTCTCCCTCAAAAACCCAACTTTCATCCCCAAAATCTCAAAAGACTTCAAGGTATTATCCCACGCTTCAAGCTCCTCCTTACTTTTGCAATATTTACAGTTTCACCAATCATGCCCACTACGAGTTTGTGATATAGATTTTTGTGAACATCATCGTGGAGGAATTGTTTTTTGTGAATGCATAATTTGTAGTAACCTAGTTTGACTTCTTCTGAAAGCTCAGAGTCAATGCATTGACCGTTGACTTTGATGCGAAAGTGTTCGAAAGATTTAAGGTCTTGGAAGGGTGTGGTGGAAGGTTCTAGAACTTCTGGCCCAATATCTTTGTTGTTGGTTTCGGAATGTTCTAAAATCTCAATAGCTTTAACTAATAAAGGGGTTGACTTTTTATGCTTCTCTTTTACCATGGTTAAAGAAAGCTTGCGTTTCTTTGGTTTAGGTGATGGAGTAACTGTTTATTACAACAACGTAGTTTAAAGTGTAATTAATAAAAAATAGGAGATTGAAATTTAAGTAAAAATGTAATTTTTTGTATTAGTAAACGATTATTTACATGGAGGGTTTTCATCATTTTAGGATTCCAAATTCAATAGGCTAAGAGCACCATCAACTTCATTCGATTCACTTGCTTTTATTATGTAAACCTAGAAAAAACATGAATTGAGATTACACATGTATGCTATGAATATTAATATGATTGTTTATATTTTCAATTTGTTAAGAATGTTGTTAAATAAGATCATGGAATTGTATGTTACCTTAAACTTAAAAGCTTCCATTAAATGAAACACCAAAACATCTCCTTCAATCAAGTCATGTGCAACCACAAAACTTTTCCACCCTGCACTAATCCCATTTTTGTATGCGATATATTTGACTTCCCATTTCTCACAAGTTTCATTTTCAAGTGCAAATGTAGTTTCTTCTTTTGGCATAAATGACCTACAAAATGGTGTTGGAAGACCCTAGGGGGGGTAGGGGTAGGGGTAAGTATATTGTTATCATATTTTGTTCATTAGTTAAAGAAAGAGGGATTACCATCCAGAAACCTTAGGTGACTTGTCATCTACCCATCAGCTTTACACAGCTAGGAAACTCGGTTCCAAGGCTTGATTGAAACTCAGTTGCAAGAATCATTGCAGGTGAAGTTGGAGGTGGAGATTTGGAGCTTTTGGTAGAAGACTTTACTTTCTTCAAACTGGATGTGAAATGGGTAACAATCGTTTTATGGTTCTATAGAACAAGATAAAAGAATTGCAAACCAAACCTGGCCTCAAAGATGGAGTTGAAGTCTTGCTTACTGGCTGTGGATGAAATAAAAAAATGTGAACTTGATGCTATATGTAGAAAGAATGGTTGAATTTCATTTACATATGAACCATAAAACCCTGAACACTAATATGCGTGGTATTCATAGCTAAATGGATAGGCAAATAGAGAAATTTATGTTTGAAAACAGAGAGAAAGTAAAGAAAATAAACTGAGATAGCTATGAAGGGGTTATTCCAAACATTTTTTCAACAAAAGTCGAGAGATTTTCCATTTTCCCCAATTTTTCTCGGATCCAATTTAGGTATTATTCAAAACAAAATAAATTGTAGCATGTTATCTAGAGTGTAGAACTCAAGCAACTTCTTACGATGTTGATCTTCGGAGGCGGACGTTCTGTCTGTACTTCAGTTGGAGAGACCTCAAATCTAATCGGCTTCGGCTTTCTCCGTTTAGGCTGTCAAAACACAACCAGATCCAGTGTTAACTAACTGATTTCCAGCAGACATTGAAAATTGAAGAGCATTCAATGAGAGGAGATGAGAGGTACCAATGAAGACGCGACTGGATCATTACGCTGAGTATTAATGGTTTTCGTTAATTGAGAGAAAATATTGTAGTCTTCTGCAGAATTGGGGCTTCCCAAGTAGTTTTTTTGAAAGAGGGGGATCGAAATTTTCTACTTCTAAGCTGTCTTCTTCTACCACCGGAGCTGCCATAAGTGGTAGTTTTTGAGACTTTGGAGGGTTCGATAGAAGAGAGAGATAGAAGGGAGAACGGGAAATAGATTAGAGGTGTGGAACTTGGAACAGTAAGCGAAGTTAAAGTGGCCGTTGGTTCTATAATGGCTCGTTGCCTCTTTCTAAGTGTAAGCCTTTTAGACTTGTGGTGCGGGCCCCCACTCGCGTTTTTATGACCTATCATCGGAAATCGGTGTTACTACGGCCCAAACATCGCCCCTGCTTCATGTTTTTGTGTCTTATGTTATTTCCCGTGGTGATGGTAAAGAAAGACAACGACACATTTTGAGAGTTACGATCTTTTTTCTTTGGCCGATCATGGCAGCGTGTTCATGGATAAACATCATCCCCACAATGACATTGAGGGCATCTTCTTTACTTCTATCCTGATCGGGCTCCGTTACCACTGTTGCTCGTTGTCCATACCGAGTAGTCTTAGGTTAATATCATTTTATTTTGCTAGGAAATTATCACACCCCATACTATGTTTTTATTGGTTAAAAATGATTTAGAAAAACTTCTCTCTTCACCACCGGCTATGAGATACATCGAGCAGACAATGAGCTTCAAAACAATGTCAAGCGGAACAATGTTCATCAACCCTCAATGTCATTGAGGGGCTCTAGTTCGGTCTCTCAATGCATTTTGGGATTGTGAAGTGTATAGTGACTTGGTATATGCATAAAAGAATGAGGAACACCCCCCCCCCCCCCCGGGGGGGCATCGTGAGTGTAAGGTTTTGTGAGTACGGTTACACTTCAATACAAGTAAAAAAGAAATAAAGAAAATGTCATATGTCCGTTTGTCAAATTATATATTTGCGGAAGCCTATGAGAAGTGAAGTTGAATAATTGTATGTTGCACATGAAAGTACACACAGTTTTCTGGAAATGCTTGATAGGATTGATTGTATACATTTTGAGTGAGAATCATCCGAATGCATGACCAAGTCAATCCATAAGGGGTGGGGTGTTCATGGTGTATCGAATATAATGCTAGAAGCAGTAGTGTCAAACGATCTATGGTTTTGGCATGACAAAGTCAAACAATGACTTGAATGTACTAGGTGTGTCGCCGATATTCAATGACATTCTGCAGGGTAATTCACGCCGATATTCAATGACATTCTGCAGGGTAATTCATCCGATTTTCATTTTTCATATGGAATCCATGTAATTATGTCATTTTATATGGAATTACAATTAATTTTAGATTATGTTTGATTCACAGAAAATAAAATTGAAAATCCTGTAAAATGACATAATTATTATTTTTGTCTGTTTTGCTTTATTTTAATTTATTTTCTAACTTGTATGTAAACATACATTATATAAATTATAAAAATAGTAAAATCACGATAGTGGCGACGGTAGCAGCGGTGGTGATAGTTGTGTTGGCGGCAACGATGGTAGTGGTAGTGGCGGTGACATTGGCGGATGTGGTGGTTGTGGTAGTGGTGGTGTATGATGGTAATGGTGGTGACGACGACGGTAGTGGTGGTGGTACCTACAGTGGTGGTGGCGGTGATGATTGTGGAGGTGGTGGCGATAATGGTAGTGGTGGCGGCGGCAGTTGTGGTGCAGTGGTGGTGGTGACAGCAGTTGTGATGATGGCGGTAGTGGTGATCATATTTTCTTTTCCCTCATCTCTCCACGACTGCCACAAAATAATAATAATAATAAAACCGAGTAGTCATATTTTCCAAACAATTGATTATAATTTACGGGCATTTTAAGATCTGTCATATAATAAATTTGTAGGCTTCCTAAAGCTAATTTTAACGAAGTATGTTGGTGCAATTACTTATTCCATCATTCCCACTTATGTGTTGATGACGACAAAAAAAAAATCCTTAATTTATTTTGTGATCTAACTATTTTACTTAATATCTTGCTCATTATCGATCTTAAATTGTATAAATATAAACAAGACCCACACGTCCAAATGATCAAGACCGTTAGTGCTACAATTGATAATGTCTATCTATGCCTCAGGAAAATATGATATAAGAGTATCAAAGTGGCAACTTGGATAACTAAGAAATCGTTTAAGTGAAGGATCAATGTTACAAGATTCATATAAAGAATATTATCCTGAATGCTCCAAATAAGACTAATATTTCATCTTGTTCATTTAAGTGGTGATAGCCTTATAACAAAAGTCCATTATTAGACAATCATTTTCAGCTCAAACAAATAACACATGACTGGACCATGGACTTCGAGATACGCATCGGACCTTAAATTAGGCCCAAAGTTTGACTTGCGAGTTTTATAAAATCCGCATGCTAATCAACATTATGTCCCAATTGATTCTCACTATAGTGCTTTTCAAATATGGTCGGAGACAACAATAAGTGTTTGTGAGCTTAGAAAAAGAAACTTTGAAACAAACCTCATTACTTAAACTTGATCTTAATATTGTTGGCGCCATTCAAACTATCTTGAAAACGAACGTGTTGCTTTGTACCTTGAGAGAGAGAGAGAGAGAGATCAACATTCAACATTCAAAACATGTATTTAATTGTGAAATAATCTACAATGGTGACAAGGCAAATGTAGTAATCGTTGTTTTGAGTCACAAAGAGTATGAAGAACCAATCCCAACAAGATCAACACAAATTTCATTGGTATCAAGTCTCATAGAATGGATTAAGGAAGAGAAAGCATAACTTTAAGTAGAAAATGGACAAGAAAGATGCAAAAGAACATGATATTTAAAGAGATGTGTTAATGATAAAAAACTTCTAGACACTGATTTGGTGGAACTGGAAATTGATTCTATAAGATTTGTAACATCCCAAAAATTACAACAAAAAATTTCATTTATAATAAAACAATTATAAAAATATTTGTCTGAAACAACCATAGTAGTAACTTGTATCAAATCCAAAGTATCAATAGTCAAAACATATAATGATAAAACAACATCAGAGTAACAATCCCAAAGATCTCCAATGCGGAAAATATGGTGTGATGCGTTGCGGTCATGCCAACTCTTTTCCCTTTGAAGAGGAAGTACCTGAAACAAAAACCAAACACCTTAAACACAAAGCTCAGTGAGTTCCCCCATCATACCACATATCATACAATAACATATTGCCTAAGATATATAGGTGCTAACCTACCCCTTCGGTCTCTTTCAACCGGTAACCGCCTAGCATATATGGGTGTTGGCATATCCCTTCTATCTATTTCAATTGGTAACCGCCTAACATATCTGGGTGCTGGCCTACCCCTTCGGTCTATTCAACAGGTATCCAAGGACTATTTCACCCCTACTACTACCATATAATATCCTAGCATATACATATAATTCTCCTACTACCTAACATATCTGGGTGCTGGCCTACCCCTTCGGTCTCTTTCAACAGGTAACTGTATATCATATTTGCGTGCTGGCCTACCCTTCCGGTCTCTTATAACCGGTATCCAGGGACTATCCTACCCCTCCTCCCACTATCACATAATTGATGGGTTTTGGTCATAAGACATCCTATGTGCTCATACAAACCCTAATGCTTGGATCTAGGTTTCTCTATTGTACATGCTTTAAATCCAAGACTATAAACCCTAATTCTAGCATATGGAAATCGATATTAACATATAATAAGGTTTAAGAACATACCTTGATTGTTATATAGCAATAACAATCCTAATTCCACCTTGAATTGACTTTGGAATGCTTAGAGTCACAAGTGTCACTCCTCTAATGGCTTACAAACACCAAGAGCAAATGGAGAAGGTATAAAGAGAGAGGAGAGAGGTTAGAATTTGTCCTTAGGACTTCTTGGGAAGAGATACACGAATTCATGAGCCTTAGGGTCTTTATATAGGTGTAGAGATAGGGTTTCAGTCATTATCCTTATCTAGTTGCTTATCCACAAAGCAACCCATAAGATAATCCTTGAGTCCTTATCATAGTCGAATTCTAAGGCCTTATCACCTTAAATTCGTCCAACCTAATAATAAGATAATCCTTACCTTATTTTGTAACTATCACATAATTACAAATCAGCCCCTCTAGTTTAATTAATTACATTTGATCACAAAATTAATTCCTAATTAATTATTGACCAATATTAATTAAACAAATATGATTTCTCCTTTAATATATTATTCTTATAACATATTAATAAATCATATTATCCTCTCTCTATATATATTTCTCCAATCAAGTTGCTTTGGTGAAGGCAACCCAAAAGGACCATGCACCATCGGGTCAAGTACATACCAAAATCGTTATGGACTTAGACACTAATCCAACAGTCTCCCACTTGGATAAGTCTAACAACTATTATGCGTATGACTTCAGATCCCGATAGGAAATCGTAGCTTTCCAAAGCCGCTGTCAACTCTGATCCTATCAGATACGCGTGTCCTTAGATAAGGGATCATATATTCCTCCATTCTAGATATCGTATGAGATATGATTTTTAATCATTCTCTTTGTACTATATCTCGATTTCCGATTTATGACGACTGACTAATTGAACAAATCAAATTAGCCCTAGCCCGGCCGAGCATTTACGTTTGTCATCACTAAACCATCGAGGGGCCCAAAGATATCGCTTTTATCCTTCTTTGGATAAAAGGAACGGATAAACTTTGATACAATGCTCGCTTGCACTCACTAACCAAATCACACACAACAATATGTTTTATAACACCAAGTTACTAGTGCGTTTACATATTATCAATGTGCAACCGATTAGCAAGATACAACTCACACATCTCGGTTTCAAGAATATAAGATGTTATCGTCTCACCAATCACTCGTGATACAATTCATGGAGTGATCCAAGTGAGCGTGGGTTTAATCCAATGCTCAAATTCATATTCATAAGCACTCATGAACGTTGCAACAAACATTTGCTTATGTCTAATACTCTTTTAGACAATCCACACACACCAATTCACGACAGTCTTCATTCATATCTACTTCCAACATATGAACGACTATGGCCCGTTCGAATAATTCGATTATTCTTAATAAACCCAATTATTCTGGAAGTCAAAACATGCAAGGTGAAACAAAAGAATAATACTAATCCCATATGGCCTCAAACCTTTGAGTATAAACAAAACACGTTTTATTTATCACCATATCGATTACTCATTATTTGTCATTTCGGGTAATCAACTTTTTACTTGAATTATTACAGTTGTCCCATGCTCCTAGCATGCACACAATGTTTACCTATGGTTCTTACTTTTGTGAAATAGACAAATTGAACACATTTCCAATCATTCTCATTTTACAACTCCAAATCCATTTTCTTAAGTGTAAGAATATCAAATTCTTGTTACTTATAAAATATACTAGATTCTAACACTTTATGCAACGATCCTTTTGTAATGTCACTGCACCAAAGTCTCAAAGACTATTGCCAATGATATTACAAAGTCCTCTAACGTAGATTGTTACAAGACAATTCCTTAGATATGATGTCTCTCACTCAAAGTACATTCCTTTGAACATCCTTTTGCATAAAAGTTTCTAATCTAGACATAGATTCACAATATTTACTTCCCAATATGGACATGCTTCCATATGTTCCATATGACAACTTATTCTTAATAGAATCTTATCTATTCGTAATGATGTCTATATTGTCCATCCAATATGGAAACATTTTCATAATTTCCAATACTATACTTCCAACTACTCACAAGCGACCAATTCTCGTCGAACTTTGAATCGTCCTTTGATAGTTGTTTAATTATTTTAGTCAAAACCAATTCTAGTCCCTTTTCCCTCTAAATGCGCTGGACATTTGGAAAATTTTAGAATGGTCAAACATTAAAGCATTTGCAATCGATCTTATACCCGAAGCGTATGGGACACGACGCACAATGTTTTATTTTCTATGTTCTCAAAATTCGAATTGTGAAGAGGAATGTCGTAATCATAATCGAAATTTTAAGAACACACTATGTACCTTTGACTAAATTTATTAACATTCCACAACCTAATCCTTTATATTTGAAATGAAGCATAATATTCTCTCCCTTAATTATAGCAAAACAACTACTCCATCCTTACAACTTTGCAAAGAATGACTCTTGTTTTCTATAATTAATATTGCCAATTTGCAATACTTTCCATAATAATCATACACTCATAACATTTATGCTCCCACTATTATGATGATTACTATAAAACATAACACTTATGCTCCCACTAGCTTTGACATGTATTCATAAACATCTTAACTTTCAGAAAGACAATACCTATTGAATTTCTTAAGTCCATGTTTCTAATACTTAGTGCTTTGATAATCTTTTATCAAGGCTTCTTGAACTTATACACTTTTGCCTTAGATAGTGCATATGTGTGTCTTAACAATTAAGACTAATTGCCAAACCTCACAATTCAAATTATGGAAAGGGATACCGTAACCATGATTGAATTCGAGAATGCAACTTTACAATCACTATCTTCTTAAAATCTTTCTTAGTGAAAGCATTTCCTCACAATCATTTTCATGAAGGAGGAAATCTTATGACACTTAGATTTTAATGGTGTATATGTTCTTATCCATGTGAATTTGTTAAAACCAGAGTTTACGACAAATTCAAACTCATATGGACCGAACTCTTTTAATCTTGATTTCTTGCCTTATGGTA